TGAGCTTTTAATTTTGACACGGGGTATATACAGTGAAAAGAGGGATAAAAACTGGGATGCGACGAGGGATGCCAACTCCCCTGGGGCTAATTCCCTGAAATTTCTGAAAAAATTGAAATTTCCCCAAAATGAATTTTGCTACATATTTAAGGCACTTCAAGCTAATTTTTCATTAAAAAAAAAACAACAAATATCATTAATTGTGATATAAGTATGTAATAAGTCTTTTAAACATGTTTATTATATAAAAAGCTAATACAATGGCTTGGTGGCGAAATCGAAACGAGAAAAGAGTGTCAAAGAAAACGTGGAAAAAGTGAAAAATGTCGCTATGCATAGTTGCAATTTTTTTAATATGTTAATATGTTTCAAACCTGTGATACAAAATGGGAGATTGTTATCACAATTTGTAATTTATAAATGCAAATTTATCCTCAATGGGAATGTTCTAATCAAAATCGTTTGTATATTGAATTTCCCAAAATTTAAAGTCACCCCCCGATTCCCCCGAAAAGTTCTAATTCTACCAAAATCGGGGAATTCTCCCCTGGTTGACAACACTGGACGCGACATTTTAGCAAGTTTTGGCTATTTTTCTTTAGTTTATTTAATGTTTATTATTTTCATGAAAGTATAGCTGATCACTTAACAAACACCATATAAATCCAAATTTCAGAAGTTTTGCAAAAATTAAGAAAACTGCAAAGTTTCACAAAAATTTCTAACTTTTTAATCATCATCTTTAGATTAAATTTTCGTATGCAGTTTTATAGGTTGGTAACAACGTATTAATGTGGTTCTGGATGCAAAAGTATGCGCATGTGGAGAAAGTTTCTGATCGCCATTCGCCAGGGATTGGCCAAAAACGATTATTTTGCATGCAGTTCAAATAGCTGAAAACTTTCGGTTTACACTAAGTATCCTCTGGTTAGCAACCGAACACCCGTTTGGAAATGAGCGAATGTTATTTAAAAGCTTAACACAATAAACTTATTTAATCTAGATACCTTGAAGTACGCAAAAACAAAATACTATGACATGTGAGACATTTTGTTGCGTACATAACAAATTCAGAATCCATAAAATCTGAAATAGCGTATCAATTTATTACTAAATTCTTATACTACAATTCTAGCTCTTAAATTTGTTTCAATTATCAACAAGCCTTAAGCAGGGCTCACACGATTTGTACATTTTGGCAGTCACAGAGTATTGTTGGTTAGAAATAATGAGTTCATGGTACACATCTTTACAAATTTACGAATTGTGTGATCCCTGCTTTAGAAAAAGTACTCTAACAAAGTATGTTGATAACTATTTTTTGTTTTAAAACGCATTTGAATTATAAAAATTACATATTTAAGTAAAGTACACCATTCCGATTATCCCCACTGCTAGCCACCGCTGCTTAAAAAAATGTAGCGAACTGTTCTATAGCCAAAGATATCTACATTAATAAAAATCGGCGGATATTTTGCGCTTTTTGTAAATTTAAATTTTCAAGAAAACGTGTACGGCGTATGAGTAACCCTCCTTTCTGGTCATATCTATACATACATATGTACCCAGTCGGAAAGGTAGTAATGCATTACATGCGTGATAAATAATATAATGTATTTCTTATGCGTTCTCGATAATATTACTGCTAATTATGTAATCAGCATTGTAATGTAAAAAGTTCCAAAATTTCACATTAAAACACATTCATTTCTCGATACTAGGTAATGCAAAATTGAATGCCCCACTTTTATTAGGACATCGCCCCATTTTCGAATGTGAAACTACCCTTTACTGATTATTTTTTCGATTACTATACATTACTTTTTCCCACTGGGTACATATGTATTTATGTAGTATAGAGGGGAATCTTGAAATCTACCGAACGGATTTGGACGAGATTTTCTATAATATATGCTGTATCTACAGGAGAGTGACCTTTGGTATTTAGAAGTTCTATAGGGTTGCCACCTGTTCGTTGGATTACAAAAAATTAGGTGCCAAATGAAACGGATTGACCTCTAGATAAGCATTAATGTTTTATTTTTTGAGTAGAGTTTCCAACTGTTAAAAAAATTACTATTTTCAATCTTAATAAACGAAGGTATCAATTCTGCACCGTCCCTGTTAAGGTCTTTTCAGACTTAGCCTCTAGATGTTCAATAATGCATTATTTTTTCGAGTAGGGTTTCCAAACGCTTTAAAATTATAAGATATTCACCGTTTGTTGGATAACAAAATGACATGCCAAATGAAAGGGCATAGCCTGCCTTACATAGTATAAATACGGTGACCATCCGTCATGTATTATACGGGACAGTCCTCTTTTTTAACCCATTGTCCTGGTAATTTATTTATCTTATACGGGACGCCAAATGTTCTGTATTTCTTTTAATGTCCCGTATTCGATGTTCCGACGCCTTAACAGCTCATTATAATGGCTTGCCTATTTTATGTTTCCAACAGGGTATGATGTATTTTGAAACGAATTTCCGTCATCCCTTGTCAATTTTGGTTTGGAGACAAACCGGTTTCGGCGTTGTGCCATCTTCAGTGTCATTTTTCGTTCGTTTATTATGAAAGTAAATCTCTTTTCCTAACAAAAACCATATAATACCAAATTTCCAACTTTGTGCAAAAAACTATAAAATTAATTCTGCAATGTTTCGCAAAATTTCAAACTCTTAAATTAGAATCTTTAGAAAAAAAATGGTTGGCAGTTTTGTAACTCACTAAAATTGAATATAGCAAAGTGCGAGTGGAAAGTGCTGCGCATTTGCTTCTCTTTCAAAAAAAAAGGTCGAACATACTTACTTTGTATGAAAAAAATTTCAATTTCCAATTAATCGAATAATTGAGTTATTTACTTTATGATTAATTAAAATTTTGAATAATCAATTAATCGCACAGCCCTAGTACATACATATATGTATATATTGTATTTATGTACATAGATATATGTGTGTAGATTTTTTGCAACAAAAATATATTTCATCAACAATTCCAACAATTAAAAATTTAACGAACACAGCTTCTACCAAGGCAATTTTTTTCCATCATATTGATAAAATCCACCATTATTTGAACCATTAAATTTGAACAGCGTTTCGATTATTTTGCTTGAGCTTGTATCCACGTCGAGAGGTGCATTGGATCCGCCCATATCAGTACGTACCCATCCAGGATGTAAACATACGCAAAGAATTTTGTTTTGGAAAAGATCTATGCTCATTGACTTGGTCGCAGCATTCAAAGCAGCCTATTTAAAAAAGACAAAATAATTGTAAATTATAAAATTGAAATATGTAAATAGATATTGCGTTTTAATAAAACCTTCGAAGTACGATATGCGTACATGGCACCGTCTGTGTTAGCCTCGATCGAGCCAAGAATGGAACTCATATTGATAATAGCAGCCCGTTTGACACCCATTTCCTGCTCTCCATTTGTCGCCGCCGCCGCCGCTTGTTTTAGTAGAGGAAGGCAAGCCTTGGTGTAATTAAATAGTAATTAACATTACGTAAATTCATAGATACACATGTGTATGTTTAAAAATGAACCTAAACAGATGATCGAAAAGATTTACGCAGCTTATATTAAATGTACTATGCTCATAAATGGAGGGTCATCATTTAATAAAAATATCATGGCCTGATTATATAAAATAAAACTAAAAAGTTCAAAATAAAATAATGTAAAAAAAATATATATTTTTTTAACAAGCTGTTATCGTTAAAGTTACTAAAAGCCAAATAGTGAAAATACGCCTCATGATACATGCCATATGTACATATGTATGGATGTACATTAGACCCCAGCCAGCAAAATCATCGTAAACAAGCTCGTAACTGGATATTTTCTCGAAGAAAAACCGGATTAAAAATCGTTTATGATAGCCGTTTACGACTCTTTTTCGAGCACTTTTTCGCTTTAAATTGTGCATCGCCTACGAACAGTCGTAAACGGATCGAAAAAGCATTCGTATGCGAATATTTTTACGTCCGTTTTTTAATTGTAAACGAGTCTCGTAAACGATTAATTTACGTTAAAAAAGCGTTTTTTACACTGCTTTATCTACTGTTTTTGAATGCTAAAAATAAAGGCAATTAATTAATTCAAATTATTGTAGTTCTTTTATTGAATGGAATTATAATTAATAAATATTTATAGTTTCGGATCAAAGTATTGGCACAGAGAATTTTTCGCAATGTATGCAAAGTTTTTTACTTGAATTTCTTTTCGCACATTTTTTTTTAAATAATAGTTAGCATGAAGACCTACTTTCAAATCAGATTTTTGAGAAAAATTCTAAGTATGCAATTTTATATCCCATTATATTTTAGTATAACATAGTGCAAGCTTGAAGTTGCCAGAAAACCGCGTTGATTTTTGGCAATTTTTTCACGCAGTTTCTTCCATGCAAATTATGTGCGACATTTTTTTTGTTTTTGTATGGAAGAAACTGCGTATAAAAAATTACCAAAAAAACAAAAAAGAGGTTTTCTATCTATTCAAGCGCGCACTTTATTATACTAAAATTAAATGGGCTATAAAACTGCCAACTTTGAATTTTTCTAAAAAATCTGATTTGAAAGTAGAACTTCATACAAACTATATTTTTATAAAAAACACTTAGAGAAGAAATCAGAATAAAAAACTTTGCATTCATGGCGAAAAATTCTCTGTGCCAATATTTTTTCCCGGCACTGTATATGTGAAGATATTTTCAGATAAATAAATATTAACAAACTATCTATTAACAAATTAACAATTAAATAAGATGGGTTTAATATATATTATAAAGTAGCTGAATTTATTTTTTATCTTTTTTTCCGATAGGCTGCAAATTTTTTTTGCCGGTCGTGTGCATATTGGAAGTGCTTCTTTGCAACGGAAATAAAAACTTCTTCGTCGGAGTTAAATTTTTGACGAAAAGCACCTAAGAAAATAAAGTGAAAGATTAAACTCCATTGGAAATCGGAAAATTTAATTAAGTAAAAAGTGGTAAAAAATATTAATATCCGTACTTCTTATTGCCGCAGTCGTTGCCAAACCAATAGCTCTGCTTTTGGTACCAGTTCCCTTCCACGAGAAAAGTCCTGCTACCTCATCTATAATAATTTTCCACCAGCACGTTCTTAAATATTTATCTACATTTAAAATATTTAAATCCTTTAGTGTTGCTCCGCGCAGCCTGTGAAAGAATTGCAAAACTCGTTAAATTAATTTGTATTTTTGAATTACATATGTAGTAGCTACTTACAAGAAGTTTAATTATAAAAGAAAGTGGTAGATCGTCCTTTGCATTTGCACCAGTCTGCCAGTAAATTACATACTTATTAATTTTCTTAAATTGAATATTTAACAAACTACTTACTTTTAAAATATTGTGATTGAAGAAAAATTGTCAACAAAACTAAAATTTTTTCTTGTGCTGACAAATTACTACAAGCCTCTTTCTATTATATTTTTTTTGTTTTATTGTTTACGAGCTTTTCTATAACTTTTTGGCGATACGAGAATCCCTCGTAAAACATAATGTTCGTAAAATGTACGTTTTCTTGCTGGCTGGGACTGCATCATCAAAAAAGTTGCGGTTTTTCCGCCGGGAATACTAAATTTATTACATTTGAAAACTGCCACCATTATTAAGATTTACGTGAGCTGTACCGATTTGAAAATACTTTCAAAAATGTAGTTTTTTATGAATAAACATAGTTTTTCAGAGCCTGAGTTCAAGCCCAGTTTTTTCTAATAGTGGTTGCCCCTCTGTTGGTAATAGTAAACCTCCGAGTGTATTCTGTCATGGAAACAGCTTCTCATTAAAATGCAATCGCCGTTCGGAGTCGGCGTAAAACTGTCCTTTACTTTGTGTGACAAAATCACGCACGCCGCATATTGGAGGATAATAAGATAAGATAATTAAGTTTAAAAGAGAGAACCGTTTTTAATTAGGACTCTCTCCTATAAAATTTAGCCAACCCCACCTACGAGGTTTTGCATTTTCTTGAAGCGCGGTTTTGTACTTTAAACGACGATATATAGAAGTATTGCATACATATTTTGGTGCCTTTTCAAGTATAAAATCAAGTATAAAATCCACTGAGAAACGGAAGAAAACGGCATCCCTATGATTTCAACTTATGCCAAGCATTTCAAAAACAAGCAATTCTGAACAAAAAACTGTTTTTCCATAAAGATGTTTGAATGGAAGCATTACAAATATGAAAAAATAGCAATCCACAAGGCTTTATTGCAGTAGGTCCTTTTTAAAGCACATTTAACAAAAAAATAAGCTTCTAGTTTCGAACCTAGCACAAAATAAAATTGTTTTATTTGTTGTTTACAAAAAAAAAACATTGCCATGTACCATGGTGGAATAATGACAAGGTGTTGTCAGTAGCGACGTGTTTGTTGTAATTTTTACAAGATCGGCATCCCAGCAAACACAATCTCTAACGTTAGAGAAATTTGGATTTCTACATTAGGTAACTAGGGTAATTCTCTAATCGTTCTCGAGTCGATGACAAAGTTAGAGAACTACATTAGAATTCGATTCGAGAACGATTAGAGAATGAACGCAAATTCAAATGAATGTAAATAAGCAATATTCCAAATGAATGAATCATAAATTATTTTAAAGTTCAATTAATTCATTATTATTTTATTGCGAATACATTTAAAACAAATTTTACAACAAAAGTTCTTTATTTATTAAAGCAGCTTCAAATTCACATTCGAATCTCATTAGAACTCGATTAGAGAATTAATATTATCTCGAGTCGAGAACTATGTCCCATTTTTGTTGAGATCGCTATGATTCTCGATAGTTTTTCGAATCGTTCTCTAACGTTTGAGATTGGAGAATGTGGCTAGTTCTCCAATCATTCTGTAATCGATAACTAACCTCAATGTTTGCTGGGATGCTTATTTTCAGTGCTTCCGATCTTAATTTTTATACTACTATTCGTTGGGAAATAGTATCTAAAATACTCCATTTTAGTATTTCGTTTTATAGCGATTTTTAAAGAACTTGGTGTTTTCAGAACGATATTAATATTTAAAATTGCTGGATTTGTATTATTTTTGTCCTCAAAATATAAAATATAAAAGATATTGTGGTTATCAAATAATACGCACACAAAAATCGTATGGAAAGTCGATTTTTTTATATTAAATATCTTTTGCTGCATTGTCATAATATCGAGCCAAATGGACTACTGATACACTAGAATAGAGCGGCAGCACGGTTAGATTACGATTTCGCTTATTCGCTTATCTATTTAAAAAATCATATACAGTCTTATAGGAAATTTCTTTATTTTACGGCCTTTACTTTTTCATAACTTACAATATATGTCCAAGCTGTGTGGAGCTAACGATACAAACATATATTCAGGCTTATAAGCTTGTAACTATACATTTTCCTACATTTAACTTGAAATAGTATGCACAAACGGATTAAAAGTAATAAATAATTAGTACCTTTTCTACTACTTTAAAATGCGTGACCGGAATAGACCTGCCGAAAAAGTGAGGTTAAGTTACTGACAACACCTTGTTATTATGCGCGTTCCTTATCTCCCAGAAATAGTCAGAAAAAGTCCGAAGTAGTCAGATTTAGTCCAAAAAGCGTTCCTTAACTCGGAAATGACAGCAAAAATGAGAGAGCAACAGTCAGNGAGAGCNACTCTCATCAGTCCGAAGTAGTCAGATTTAGTCAGAAGAATTTTTTCTGGCAAAATCCTGAAAAGTGTCAAACTCAACTGAATTTAAATTAACGGAAATTAAAGAATACGCAAAAAGTGAGAATAATCTAAAAAGTAAAAGAAATGAATTGAAATTGGAAGGAGGCAAAAAATAATTGATATAGCAAGTGTTTATTGTGCTTGTGCTTGTGTGAATGTGTTTTGTACATACATTTCTGTTCTTATTTGACGTTAGTTTTGTTGTTGCCATTCTTTGGACTAAAAATTTGGTTTTTTGCGTTCCTTTACTTTTCCTGTTACTCTCTTTTAGTGAGCGCATTTTGCTTACGCTCTGGCATTTTGACACTTTTCAGATTTTAGTCCAAAAAGATAAGGAATGAACCTATTATTACACCATGGCCATGCACGGTGCAGCGAACAGAGGTGGCGCCGTCAGTGGTACCGCTACTTTGGTTTTGCCGATTTTGACAGTTGTGGTAACTTGTAAACACACCTTTGTTTACAAATCAGCGAAAGAGAAATTTAATTATATGTGAAAAATCTGTTTAAATTGTGTTAATTTGCAATTTGTGAGTGATTTTTGAGTTGAAGACTGCGTAAAAACTAATACAATGAAGAGCTGTGTGTTAAATTGCGACAACCGTCAAGATGCAAGAAGCGTAGATGCAAGAGTAGCGCTGGGACGAATCGCTGCATTTTGTGTACATAGGGCACGGCAAAGCCGTTCCCGAAATGTTTCTCTATTATTATATAAACAGCATTTCCTCACAATGATTTTGTTTCTGCTCCACGCAGCCTCCATTAGCTAGTTCACTTATCAGTCCCGCAGAGACGCTGCCGCAGTCTTAAGCTCGGAACACTTTGACGACTGCAACTTCACGACGTAACGACAGCGACATCATTTTGTCGACAAATGTCGCCTTGAAGCCAGCTTCTTAAACATTTTGAAGACCTCAGCGACATAGCAAATAGCTGATTTTAAAGTTTTACATTTTGGTATATTTATTTCACAAATTGTGTATTTTTATTTAAGTAAATAAGAAAAACATGAACAATCAAGAATATGTGATTAATTTTGCGACAATTTAATTTTGCAGCACTACATCTACTCATTGTCGCCGGCAAAATTAGAAATAGATTTAATTTGGCGACGTCGACAATTGCAGTCCTGCAGCCAAGATGTCGTGCTGTCGTCAAAATAATTGTGTCCGTAAGAACGTGTGTATTTAAAATTTGACAGATGCTGCTTGTCGCTTGCTGTCGTCAAAGTGTTCCGAGCTTAAATTGCAAAGCAATGGAGTGCACTAAAACGTTTGCTGAAGCAGCCTCAATTGCAAGGCAATGGAGTGCACTAAAGTGTTACCTATTCTCTAATAGATCAGGTGAAAAATGCAATATTTTCGCGTTTAGCAAAATTAAAACACGTTTTTCGCTGTAAAGTGAACTGTTTTGGAAGTTTTAACTCGTTCTTTTCGCTACATTCTTTGTTTACTTGTGGTACACAAATGTCAACGCCCAGGACGGCGCAATCTTGTATTCTATCATTCTTGATGGCCATGTACTATATAAGTCAAAATTGTTAAATATATGTATATCGCTTTCATTCATTTCTTCATAGAGTTGGTGCTTCTTTTATAGGAAAATTCATACGGCTTATGAACAGATTCATACCATGTAAATGCACCATTAGTGTCTACATACCTTTGACAACATTATAGGCACAACAGTATTGGTTTGTAAAGTCTGCATCAGATCCTCTAGTTTTATTGTGGTTATCCGAGTAGATTTGGGAGCAACGCCAGCATTGTTGAACAGTACATTAAGTCCGTTTTCCTTAACAACCTCACCGATACGACTTACCAAATTTGCATAGCTTTCAAAGTTATTCAAGTCTGAAAAATAAGCTCATACATACAAAATTTTTAAACTTGTGTGTAATAAATTAACATATCCGCGGACTTTTAATTAATTCCTCTGATATACTTTGTTAATAAGCTTTATGTACATATATCATAAAATTCAATCATAGACAAAAGATCCTGAAGATACCTTCAGATTACAACATCAACAATTTAAAAATATCACAGCCCTATAAAATTTTCGTTTTATTTAAATCTTGCCTTGGGGTTAAAAAAAAGTTAGTAATATTTTCACGAAAGATATGTATATGTATGTATGTATATACATATATATTAAATATTTTACGTTAGTTGATAGAAAGTAAATTGTCAAATCAAAAGTCCTCAAATATGTAATTAAATGTAATTAAGTATTACCAATCTCCAAAATGTGTATAGATGGATTTCGATTCGCTAAATCCTTTAATTCCTAGAATAAATTGTTATTATAATTTTGATATATACATATGTATGTACATATAAAAATACAAGTAATTTTTAGCAAAAAAAAAACCGACTTAAAAAAAATATATATATATCTATATATTTCATGATCCAATGATCGGATCTAAACCAAATTCGTATGGGACAACCTCTGAGACACTACCTTTCCGTTGAATTATTGAAATCGGTTGACGTGGTGCAAAGTTATGCGGTACCATACATAAAAAAAAAAATAATAAAAATATTCCGACGAACTGATAACCTCCTCCTTTTTTGGAAGTCGGTTAAAAAAAGGGTTGAATTCATAATGAATTCCTAAAATGCAAAAACAAAAAACATTTTAGTTAAAATGGTATTTTAATCCACTTTGAAGTAAAATGGCCCCATAATACTTGGGTGATCAGCACGGTTGCCGTTTTGGTCCAAATTTGTCCAATGGGTCAAAGCACGCTTCAAAAAATATCGCGGTTTCTTGCTAATTTCAATTACTCGGTGACCAATATTAAAATAAATTAAAAATATGGAAAGGTAGCAAAACTTTAATCATAGCATTTAGCACATGAAAATAATATGCGATTTCAATCGAAAGGATATTAATTATCTTGAAATTATTACACCACATAAAGTTCGGCTGACTTCCAAAACGTCAATTGCATTGCATACCTACAAAGTTTAATGTTCCAAAATGTTCGTTTGGTTTTGATTACCATTTGTGTTTTAAAAATGGAAAATTCCGAAATGGTGTATATACAAACAGTTTGAATACCGCAACAGAACAGTATCCAAACATTGCATTGGTACATTTTGGAAGTCAGTCTTCTTTCTGATACTGATGTATCAATTTTGTCCCTACTCGACCAATTTCCTGCATTGGTAAATGATGCAGAAATAATTGAATTTCAATTTCGCAAATTGAGGCTGAGTGAAGATAACATCAAAAACTGTACCAATATAGAACGTTTTTGGGATCAAGTGGGTTCGATTAAAAATGGCTTTGGGTGAAGCGGCCTTTGGAGAATTGTGTGATTTANCAAGTGGGTTCGATTAAAAATAGCTTTGGGTGAAGTGGCCTTTGGAGAATTGTGTGATTTAGTTCATAACATTTTTAGTCTGCCTCACAGTTCCGCAGCAGCTGAGCGCAAATTTTTTGATTTAGCATTAATAAAAACGAAATATATATATTCACAACCATGTTGCTTTGTTTCAGTTTGAACATAACAAAAAATTGTTGTTTTTAATGAGACATGGTACAATAATTACAGGTATTGTCTTCCCAGAGAGTTTTGCTTCACATCGAAATTCGTGCTCCCTTATTTTAATTTTGACGCAGTTCAATGTTGATTCTTTTACTTTTATTTGGCTTTGCTTTCTGTTTTCGCTCAATTTAATTTTTATAATTAGGCGAGCAGTTAAGCCGGAAGCCAAGGTTGAGATTATACATGTCCGGTCAATGAAGTTAGCATCGGCGGAAGAGCGAGATGCGAAACGACGGCGGAAGTTTCAGCGTAANATAAATTAAAAATATGGAAAGGTAGCAAAACTTTAATCATAGCATTTAGCACATGAAAATAATATGCGATTTCAATCGAAAGGATATTAATTATCTTGAAATTATTACACCACATAAAGTTCGGCTGACTTCCAAAACGTCAATTGCATTGCATACCTACAAAGTTTAATGTTCCAAAATGTTCGTTTGGTTTTGATTACCATTTGTGTTTTAAAAATGGAAAATTCCGAAATGGTGTATATACAAACAGTTTGAATACCGCAACAGAACAGTATCCAAACATTGCATTGGTACATTTTGGAAGTCAGTCTTCTTTCTGATACTGATGTATCAATTTTGTCCCTACTCGACCAATTTCCTGCATTGGTAAATGATGCAGAAATAATTGAATTTCAATTTCGCAAATTGAGGCTGAGTGAAGATAACTTCAAAAACTGTACCAATATAGAACGTTTTTGGGATCAAGTGGGTTCGATTAAAAATGGCTTTGGGTGAAGCGGCCTTTGGAGAATTGTGTGATTTAGTTCATAACATTTTTAGTCTGCCTCACAGTTCCGCAGCAGCTGAGCGCAAATTTTTTGATTTAGCATTAATAAAAACGAAATATATATATTCACAACCATGTTGCTTTGTTTCAGTTTGAACATAACAAAAAATTGTTGTTTTTAATGAGACATGGTACAATAATTACAGGTATTGTCTTCCCAGAGAGTTTTGCTTCACATCGAAATTCGTGCTCCCTTATTTTAATTTTGACGCAGTTCAATGTTGATTCTTTTACTTTTATTTGGCTTTGCTTTCTGTTTTCGCTCAATTTAATTTTTATAATTAGGCGAGCAGTTAAGCCGGAAGCCAAGGTTGAGATTATACATGTCCGGTCAATGAAGTTAGCATCGGCGGAAGAGCGAGATGCGAAACGACGGCGGAAGTTTCAGCGTAAGGATCCGGATGTAGCAAGATGTGCTAAAGGCAGTGCAGCACGAAGGCGGGAGGCTGGGTGTCATGGACAAATGATGCGGCATAGATCTGGCGAAAAGGATAGAGCTGGGATACTATCGATAGTACCGCCACTCGATAGTTTTCGAAACGATAGTTGAAAACATCGATAGTATCGATAGTAGTTACTATCGTCGTGAAAGGTATTGAATTGAAACGCTCAATTGCTTGAAAATTAAATAATTAATAAATTTATAAAATTATAAAATTTTAAATATAAATAATATATAAAAATAAATTACAAGTCAGCGAGCGACAAGTAAAGTTAGTTACAAGTCAGCACGCTACAAGTAAATTGAGTTGCGAATAAGCAAGTTTAATTGTGTTTACCAGTTTTGTAAAGCGTTGTAATTGCTTTAACGAGTATTGTAAAGTGATTTTACTGTATTAGCGAGTATTGTAAATAGTAGGCTACACGTAAAGTTGAATAGGTTACAAAACTGCATACCCAAAAATTTCATAAAAAGTAATAAAGGTTGATAAACTGAAAAATGTATGAAAATGTCATTTTATTAAGCTCTTTAAACCTACTTTATTTTTCATGAATAAGGCCTTTAAACTTAAATTTATTTGGTTTATGTTATGCAACAGACTTCACGAAATTTCAGTTTATTTTAATTGATGGACAAAATTGAACGATAGTGGTCCATATAAGCAAAGAAAATTGGGTTGCCAGTGGAAGAAAAAATTTAAAAAGTGTGTTTTTTAAAAAGTATTCGATACTACGAGTACTTTGCAAAGTATTGAGTAAAATCACCAAATAAGGTGTCGAGTATTAAAGTACTAATTTGAATACCCTCAGTATGGATGCTTACTCAATATCGATAGTAGCCAACATTTACCCATACAACTTTCTTCGTGCACCCTGCGTGAGGTGAACGCAAAATCGCCTTGTGCGAACACCATTTAAGCGACTGCAATACGGCTGTTTGTCAAAAGCATACGATTTCGAACTCGCGTAAATGTACATTTGGTAAATGCGATAGCATGATCGCTCTTCGAAAATACATGTTCGAAAGTGCTAAATGTTGCATTTTAGGTCGGTGTTATGCAGAAATTTTGTTTGGCAAACTGTGTGCAATTGTTGTTGCAGCAAACTCGGAGAGAGCGAGTTTGGCGACTCTCACAGCAAACTAATTTTGTTTGTTTGTTTTGTTTCAAACTGCAGCAAATTCGGTGTTGTCATATACAAAAATTTTTAGACTATTGTTGCTATACACAAAAATTGCCGTGATACCGAAAGCCAGAGCATCCACCCTTTCGCTGACGTCACATTATTATTTTTGAGCACTAGTGTTGAATACTAAATATTCATATTGTACCTATTTGACGAAAAGTTGTACCTAAACGTAGATATACGTACCCAAATAGTAAACATGTATTCTTACCCGCCGTCTTCACGTGCTGGAAAATCTCGCTTGCGTGACGACGCATGCGAGAAACCGCACGTGTAGACCGCAAAAAGCACGAAGCATGCTTTTTCTCGCATACTGAGCGGTATGCAAGCTCTCGCTTACTTTCAACCGTCATTTTTGTTGTTTGACAACTATGTTGTCATTTCGTAGAATTCTTCAGAGTAGCAACATCGTTTATTTTGGAGGCAAATACAAATTTAGAGGCAACCATTTTTCATTTGAAAATAGTATATATCTCTTTTTGCAGATTTTCTAATTTTCTCAAACTTTTAAGCGCCTGCAGGGCTTGAACCCTCTCGTTTGGCGACATTTTACAAATGAAAAAGTGTGCTGTCAAATGCCCAGTCAACAAAACTCTATCTCGCTTGCGATAGAAAAAAGCAGAACGCAAGCGAGATTTTCAAGCATGTGAAGACGGCCGGTTATGTGCATACATTTTTGGTAGTTGGTGGCATGAACCAAAAATACAAGATCACGTAAGCACGCGACGTTGTATTTGTAACTGGTTTTGAGAAAAAAGTTTGCGAAAGCGGGTTCGTCAGCTGAGCGTTTGTTTACATCACAAGCACCACTATTTTACACTTTTATTCAAGTAAAGAGGAGTTAATTCAACATGACAACACATTTTAAAGCATTTTGTTGCATCATTTTACCTAAATTGTGCGTTTAAAGTGGCTGACAATAATTGTGGCTAATTTTGGTTTTCGTTGTTTTCTTTGCTTTGTTTACTTTTCGCTCGTTTTCCAGTGAAACAAGATGGCGTAGAACCCGCTAAAAAAGTCGACTTTTTTCACTCTCTTGTTCTCACGCGATCTTGTGTCTTTCGTTCATGAGTTGGTGGACTACATCTTCCTTTGTACCATAACAACTTTTCTACTTAAATTAAACAATATTTTACTAGGTTCCAAATGTACCTAAAATAATGTGCTTGTACCGAATGCACGTTCAAATACAAGGGCTGAAGAGTAGGTACAATTCAGGCTAGTTTTACATCATTATTTCGCACCACTTGTTCGCTTCTTCTTCTTTTTCTTCAAAATTATTCTTTACACTCTCATTCTCAAAATAATGTGACGTCACACCCAGTTGCTCTCAGCTCTATTGGCGAAATCTTGTAATAGTTGCATTCCAGGTGCTCACGATATTCACGATTTGCAGGTTTTTTTTGGCAGGAAAGCGTTCCATGTGCCAAAAAACCTGCAAGTCAAACCACTTGTGTGAGAGTAACTTGCTCTCTTTCTCAGTCAGAAGTTGCAGGTTTTAGTCCGAAGTTTTTCTTCCTGCAATTCATGAAAAGTGTCAAACGATAGGCAGGGTTGCATTTGTAAACAAAAACATAACCTTAAGAGCCACGGAGACAATCAAATAAATATGTCAAGCTTTGCATATGTATGAGATTGACCCGCAAACGTTCAAACAAACTCGTCAGTTAAACAAACAATTTATTTTTCTTGTCCGCGCACTTGCTCACCACGACGATCAGAAGGCAAGTGCGCTTGTTTTTTGTCAAGCATAACGCGAAACGGTTGATAAAGATATTTGATCGTCTCCATGGCACTTTACATTAAAAAAAATCGAAGTATTTACAGGAAAAGTGGTTTTTCGCGTTGCAGGTGACCCTTAATGTTTCGCTCGCGCTCCTTTCTTTCAAGAGAGTAATTTTGTTATTTGACAGTTTTACAGGTTTTTACACGAATTTATCTGGAACGCAACTATTCTATCATTCTTGTAAAAGTATAACCTGGCATCGTAAGGGGCAAGGCGAATTTATACAAGGTGGTGTTACTGAAATCAGCTGATTTTACACCACCTTGTATAAATTCGCCTTGGTAAGGGGTCTGCAGTGACACCCTGCCAATTTTTTACGCGCTGTCTGTTACTACGTTTATACGCACGTATTATTTGTAAATAACAACTTGCAAAATGGTAAACTTTGGCGTATAAACACTGAGTTAATTTCTTATTTGCAAATAGCTAAATCACACAAATAAGTATTGATTAGTGCTACTATTTGCAAATAAACGCAAGACGCCGCTATTCTTAGACTTTTTTTTTCTTTTTCGATGGTCATCTTATTGCCTCTTTATAATCAAGACGTTGCCATTTTTAATTTTATTTTCTTTTTCATATTCATGTCATATTCCTGCCTTCTTATAATCAGCCAATATTAAAAAAGAATTTTTAGAATCGAATAAACAGTGAGTTAAGTATTTGCAAATTAATTTTATTTGCCAATAGCTTACGTATGTATAAACGTAGTATGTGTTGTAATTGAAAAAAAGCGATTATGATTGCCTCTTTTCCGCTCCCGGCAGCACTCTTCAATATATTAGGTGATTTGTCTTAGTCTGGGAACTCTACTGAATGGAATGTGGAATATTGGAAAATAATTAAACCACAAAAAATATGCATAAAAGCGAAGTGAAATTGGAAGTTGAATTTACTTCTTTCTGAATTTTTGAAGTGCTTGTGTGGAAAAGTCTATCGGTTTGATTTATTCAGCGATCTTTTTTTTTACTGTGCTCGCAATAAATTTAAGCAATTTTGAAAATCTGTGGATATTTGGTTGGCGTATTCTTTCTAATTTTGAACCTCATTGAAGTGCAACAAAAAAATACTCAGATCATGGCGCCAATTAACAGTATGTGTTCCGGTCAATATAATATTTAATACTTTTCGAATGGAGTAGTTACGCTAGTTATTCTTACCGCAGCTTTATCCACATTGCGGCATGTTGCAAAGATATGATGTGGGGGTTTTGATGACTTCACCAGCGCTTTTACAAGCCCTAAACCTAGCCCCCGATTGCATCCCGTAATAAGTATAGAATTCATTAGAAAGCTTCTGCTCAGCTAGGCACACTTATATTATATGTATGAATAACTGGTTTTACAATTGCGCAACTATGGTTGCGATTAGATTCAAAAGATGATTAATGAAATTCCACAATAGTACACAGATTATAAAGATTTTATTGTGGCAGCAGTTCGTGCCTTTTAAATTACTACGAAGTGTTATTTCTCTCGTATTTACTAAACCTTTTCGGGTTTCGGTGAATGTTTTTATTTCCAGGTTATTGCAATTTCGTTCTTTCCAGGCCGCTTTCCATGAATGTCAGTAAAATGTCAAATCATTGGTTTATTGTAATATGATTTTTTTTATATTTTGTTTTTTTTGTTAAGTGGTACGAGTGCATTCATGTGTAATTACCTAAGTTTAATATAGAATAGATAGTATGTCAATTTTAACGCTTTACAACGCAAAAGTTATATTAACAATCGCCCGTCCTTCTTCGCCATTTAAAAATTGTGTGATGTGTCTGAGGTCTTGCTCAGGCCAAATATTGAGAAGTATGGTCACAAGCGTGTCAGCTATTAAACAACGTAAGAGAATTGTAAGATTTTATTGTAATCAATTACATGGCGTGTTAGCTAGAGCCCTAAAGTTTGAGTAATACACGGTGGTCGCATGAGACGATTTTACAGGCAACTCTTAGTTGAAAGCAACAATCGCCGGTATCGGTAGGAACCGCCTTTCAACTAATCGCTTCCAATGACGTTGGGGCAGCCAACTTTTGTTTCATCCAATCGCCTCTAAAATTTGCCTGGAAATTGCCTCATGCGAACACCGTAATACAGTAAAGTCTAGAAGCAAAATAAGTTTGGTATGTGCAATCAATACTGCCGTGTCATCCCACGTATTTCACAACTGTACAATCTTAGATAGCAACAATCTCACTGTGCGGATATGAGCACTACCTTGGTATACATATGTACATATATACATAAATGACAGTTATTCTCTCGTCTGTTCACAAATATTTATAGTTTATTATGTGTTATTAAGCACGTATTGGGTAAGAATTTATCATGACAATTATCTACAACCTGATAATTTGTTAAGGTTAATACTCTTGAGATTTCCATAGGAAGAAATGAAAGGTATTTTAACGATGAAAATTGGTGTTAGAAAGTTTTTATTTTTAAATATTCATAGTTTTGCAAGCTATACTTTTTTAATATGAGTCAACCCGATTTCTTATCTCCTTCTAATTTGTACATTATTATTCTAAAATTGAATGGGCTATAAAACTGCATACCAGAAATTTAAAAAAAAAATACATAGGTATATTAATCAGAGCAAAAGTTTTTAATTTTGATGAACATTCGCTAAATTTTCTTTAATTTGGTATACAGATCGAAACCTTGATTTATACGGTTTTGCCTATAGCATGAGCCATAATTTTGTATAAACATTACAAAAAAATTATAACTTGCAAAATATTGTGAATATTAAAAAAAATTAGCATGTAGCAGATATAATGGAGTCAGTGGATGTGTACTTTGTAAATATTTGCATACCCAGGTGTATATTATTTGTTTTTGTTATTTTTTGGCCTTATAACAATTATATTCAACAATTTATATTGATCTCGAGGCCGTTTTTTAAATGAAAATTTATTGTGGAAAAGTAACAATAATTTGAAAAAATGGTAGAAGTGATAGCTATTTCGGAAATCACCTCATTTCCTCATCAGACTTGTTTCAGTAGGATTCGAACCGACGATCCCACTGACTCAGCCAGTTGCCTATGCACCGTGCTAAGTACGCCTTGTAAATTATCGTTTGTTTATTTCCTTTATTTTCATTTTTGTTATGCCAACACAATCAAGCGCAGCTATTCCGCTGCAATTCACTTGATCATGTGGTTGTGGGTCAGTGGGATCGTCGGTTCGAATCCTACTGAAAGAAGTCTGATGAGGAAATGTGGTGATTTCCGAAATAGCTATCTAAATTTTCATTTAAAAAACGGCCTCGAGCTCAATATAAATTGTTGAATATAATTGTTATAAGGCCAAAAAATAACAAAAGCAAATAACTTAAGGACGGGCACACCTAAAAGTTAAGCATTCTAAAAATAGAATTATTAGCACAAACCAACAATACCAACAACCACATGATCAAGTGAATTGCAGCGGAATAGCTGCGCTTGATTGTGTTGGCATAACAAAAATGAAAATAGTGGAAATAAGCAAACGATAATTTACAAGGCGTACTTAGCACGGTGCATAGGCAACTGGCTGAGTCAGTGGGATCGTCGGTTCGAATCCTACTGAAAGAAGTCTGATGAGGAAATGTGGTGATTTCCGAAATAGCTATCACTTCTACCATTTTTTCAAATTATTGTTGCTTTTCCACAATAAATTTTCATTTTAAAAACGGCCTCGAGCTCAATATAAATTGTTGAATACAGGTGTATATTATTTATATAATACTTATTTACAGATGACTACGACTATGATTTAGTTGTTATTGGTGGCGGATCAGGTGGTCTTGCCTGTGCTAAAGAGGCGGTGGCTTTGGGGGCAAGAGTGGCCTGTTTGGATTATGTTAAACCTTCTCCCGCTGGATCTAAGTGGGGTCTTGGTGGTACATGTGTGAATGTTGGTTGCATTCCAAAAAAGCTGATGCATCAAGCTGCTCATTTAGGCGAAGCTGTGCATGTACGTAACTATTTATCTATTAGTTATTTTAAAAAATCTGACTATATGCTTACTTACAGGAATCTATTGCGTACGGCTGGCAAATTCCTGAGCCTGAAAAAATAAAACCAGATTGGGGTAAATTAGTTCAAGCCGTGCAAAATCACATAAAATCTGTAAATTGGGTGACACGTGTGGATTTACGAGATAAGTGAGTATAAATTAGTAGATAAGGGTTGAATATCTCTCTAAAAATTCCCTGCAAATCTCTGTTATTTATATAAAAAAAAAATTACAGAAAAGTAGAGTATATAAATGGATTGGGCTACTTTAAAGACCCGCACACAGTTGTAGCTAAGATGAAAAATGGAACTGAACGGTCCTTAACTGCACAAAATATTTTAATTGCTGTTGGTGGGCGGCCGAAATATTCCGAAATTCCGGGTGCAGTAGAGTACGGCATAACAAGTGATGATATTTTCAGTTTGGACCGGGAGCCGGGCAAAACCCTAATAGTTGGGGCTGGTTGTAAGTCTGCTTTAAAGATATGCTAAATGTGTAAATACAGCGTGGCGACGAATAACTGTTACCCCAGTTTTTTTTGAGAAATTAAAGGGTCCTTTATAGATTTAGCGAAAAAAGTATTTTATTTTTAATTTTCCACAGATTTTACTTTAGTTGTATTAATTAGTTATTAAATTTTAATCCTTATTTACATTTACCAGCAGTTTAAACTTTGAGAGAAAAGTTCATTTGGCACGCAAGTCTTTTTCAGGTGTATTTTTTCTTAGGCTTTGTATAAAAAAAATACAAAAAAAGAAAAAACTGTATAAGGCTGGTCGAATGAATGGCCGTCCTAGTCACCAATTCCGAGTCTATTCGATTTTTGAGTATGAGGCCTTATGTTGGACAAAAGGGGGAGTATAAGGGACTAAAAATGAAGAAAATTACCTTATGGTTACAGAAGATATGGATTAAATTAACCGACGAAGGCATGCGTGCCAAATGAACTTTTCTCTCAAAGTTTACACTGCTGGCAAATGTAAATAAGGGTTAAAATTTAAAAACTAATTAATACAACTGAAGTAAAATGTGTGGAAAATTAACAATAAAATACTTTTTTCGCAAAATCTATAAAGGACCCTTTTATTTCTCAAAAAAATCTGGGTAACAGTTATTCGTCGCCACGCTGTACATATGTAGGTATATATATATATAAATTCTAACTTTGTATATACAATATTTTTCAGACATTGGATTAGAGTGTGCGGGTTTCCTTAAAGGCCTAGGCTACGATGCTACAGTAATGGTCCGTTCTGTTGTGCTAAGGGAATTTGATCAACAAATGGCGGGCATTATAAGAGATTCAATGGTAGAGCGAGGAGTTAAATTTTTGTTCACCACCCTTCCGAAATCTGTTGAAAAACAAAATGATGGCCGTCTGCTAGTAAAATGGGCAAACACAAAAAGTGGAGAGGAAGGATTCGATACATTTGACACAGTGCTTTTTGCAGTTGGTCGCAAAGGTTTAACTGACGATCTAAACTTGCATGCAGCTGGAGTGGAAACTAAGGGTGATAAAATTATCGCAGACGACGCAGAACAAACTAACGTTCCGCATATTTATGCGGTGGGGGATATATTGCACGGTAAATTAGAACTAACTCCTGTCGCCATTCATGCTGGTCGTTTGTTAGCTCGTCGTCTCTTTTCGGACTCAACAAAATTGATGGACTACGCCAATGTCGCTACAACTGTATTCACTCCGCTGGAATATGCTTGCGTAGGATTGTCAGAAGATGCAGCTTTAGAAAAGTTTGGCGAAGACAATATTGAGGTGTTTCATGGTTTCTACAAGCCAACGGAATTTTTCATACCCCAAAAAAGCGTTCGGTATTGCTATCTTAAAGCTGTCGCTCAAAGAAGTGGTGACCAAAAAGTACTTGGGTTGCATTACGTTGGCCCAGTAGCCGGAGAAGTTATGCAGGGCTTTGCTGCTGCTGTAAAGTAAGATTTTTAACTATTGTAATGCATCTACATGCATTTTTATATGAAACTACATTTTCAGGTCTGGCCTCACAATGAAAATTCTCTTAAATACGGTTGGTATCCATCCAACCACCGCCGAGGAGTTCACCCGGCTATCTATCACAAAACGCTCTGGTTTGGATCCCACACCTGCTACATGTTGCAGTTAAGCGGAATATTATATATATTAGATACGTATACCTGGGAAAAATGAAGATTGCACACTGTGTTGCGTTCTTAAGAAGAAACGATAAATAAATTGGAATATTAGAAATATATGTGTCTAATGTTATTTTAAATGGTTTGGTCCACCGCTGGGAATACTATGCAAGATGACTGCTTGAGTCAATTCAAAAGGCCAACTGAATCATTCATACTCGAATTGATTGAAGAGTTTGGCTTTTAAATTGATCCTTATTTTATTGGATATAAACAATGCGAAAACTAATAGAGTGGATATAAATGACGAGTGTTTTAGAATATGTTGTTTGTTTCCACCCTGTGGCTGATTTTGTTTTAGATTTCCTTT